TTGGAACCAACTTGACAGTACTTAACAACAACATACTTGTGATTATAACCCCAGTTGAAAATTTGGTTTCTTTTTTATCTTATGGAGGCAGTACTCTTGTAGGGTTTGTCTTAAGTGAATCTCTTTTGAGATACGAAAGAACAGATTGAGCAAGCAGAGATGGGGAAAGAACTATGCCACACTATATGAAGAAGAATCCCACAAACAGAAGCTGAGAAGACACAGGGACCTTTCCCCAGAGCTCTCAGAGAGAGAAAGGCTTCACCCAGAGGTGGTGGCCTGAATTTGGGTTTCTAGCTTCCCAGACTGTGAGAGATTAAATTTCTGTTTCCTAAGTGTGGCGCTGTTGGTTAATGTGCTGGATTGCAAAGTCTGCTTTAACGGGGAGGCCTGAGGTTCAAGCTCACCAGCTGCTCCTTGGAAACCCTATACAGGTCAGAACCTGACTCAACAGCACTTAACAACAACAATAACCACATGTGGTGGTTCTGGTATAGCAGCACAGGACAACTAAGACAATACTCAAACTTCTTGGCCCAATGGATGAATGATGACCTTTGTCTAGTACACATACAGTCATTCCTGCCTTCTTGATCCCGGGGAGACAGCTGAACAGATGTGGGAATCAGGTATTGCAGTGAAAAGGACATGGAATTTGCAATCAGATTAACCCAGTTACTCTTAGGAGCAATGCCATCCTCAGCAATTTTACTTCACTGAAGCTTATTTCTTTAAAGTACTTTGTATCTTACTAGGTCTGTAGTACGTGCTCAGATACTTAGCCAGTGGTGCTGGGGAATAAAGCACTGGACCACAAGGTCATTTGAACAGCAAGGTCGGCAGTTCAAACTCACCAGCCACTCCTCGGAAACTCTGTACAGAGTTGCCAGGAGTCAGAACTGACTTGACGGCACACAACAACGATTGCTAAAATGAAGTCATCTCTGGGTGAATTCAAACCACCATCCTCTCAGTTAGTAGCCAAGCACTTCACCGTTTGCATTTCCCAGAGCCTGGGGAAAGGTCCTTATGTGGCATGACCATTTTGAGTGTGATTTCTAACCTAAAAATTGGTGGTCAAAACCCACCTGTGGTACTGCAGAAGAAAAGAACTTGCGATCTGCTTCTGTTTTTAAAACCAGGCAAAATCTATGGAGCAGTTCTATTCTGTATCACATGGGATTGACTCGATGAAAAGGTTTTGGTAAGATGAGGAAATCATATGGCTGGAATCAGGCGTCCCACCGACAGGGTGGTGTATGGAGTAAGATTAAATTGCTAAACAATTTGTTTGTTTCATATGCATTTTTCTTGACCTTGTTTGGCTGATTATATCTCCCTCTCTGACAATCTTCCTCAGTCCACTTCCACTCGGGCTGCATCTTAGAATCACCTTAGCTTTAGTATCCACCGTGTTGTTGCTGTGAAGTGCCACCAAGTTGGTTCCAACTCACAGCGACCCTGTATAGAGCTTCCCAGGAGTGGCTGCTGAGTTTGAACAACTGACCTTATGTTTAGTAGTCCAATGCTGATCCTAGGACTCCAGAATCCACCATGGAATTATGAAATCAGAATGTTCCCTAAGGATTCTTATATGCAACTGGAATTGAGAACCACTGGTCTTTCATTCTCTTGGTCCCAGTAGAAAGAGTTCAATATTGAATAGGCTCAGAGAGAACTAGCATTTTCTTGAAGCAAAACTGTTTTTGAAGGGAGGTGGCACATTCAGTAGAAAGAGTAGGGCTTGGTGCCAAAAGTTCAGAGCCCGAGCCTTGCTGCTAATTGGAGATGCAGTCCAGCAAGCCACAAAATCTCTCTGTGCTCGGGGATTCTAATCCATCAAAAGAAGAAACAAACAAACAAACTTCTGTTCTGTCCTCCTCAAACTGGCATATGAAGTTCAAAGTAGAGAACAAACAAGATTGTTTTCAAAATGTAAAAAATCACATAAAGCATAGTTTGTTAGTGGTCTCATGATGATCAAACAAAATCTTTGCTGTGTTCCTTATTAGCGGGGAGACCTTGGACAAGTCACTTCCTTCTCTGAATCTTGGATTCCTCATTTGTAAAGTGGGTCTACCTACTGTGCAGATTACAGGTTTAGTAACACGGCAAACAATAGGCAGTAATAATAATAAAAAAGACACGCTATTATCGTATTGTGTGTGCTATTATTTACTTGTTATTCTTAGTACAGACCTGCAGGTAGACTCACAGACGCCTGGCTTCAAGCCTGCTGTCAAACCCCACATCTTCTCATGCTACAGTTCCTAGTCTCTATGTGGCCTTAAGCAGGTGCGGCATTTCTGCATGAAGAACTCTGAGACTTGAAAAGGAATCTCAGGGAATCTTTGCTTACAAACTCAACCTGCTGAAGTGACAGGTGGAATTAATGACAGCTGCCATCATTGACTTCAATACCTGAGCTTTTCTGGCTATTGAGTGTGGGACATATATCCATCACTGGCAGAGGTAAATGTGGGTAACCACCCTGACACAGTGGGCTGAATGTTCAGGTGTGTTACCAGAAGGAAGGCTGAGACACCGTCACCTTTCTCTGTCTCCACCTAGTAGTCACTGCTCCCTTTATCTGGCCTTGAAGGACTTTTACTCTCATTTAGCACAGGAGTCTTCAGGGTTAGAAGGAGAAGCCCAGATGGCACCACACTCAAGTGCTTAGTTGCTAACCAAAAGGTGGTTCAAATCCACCCCGTGGTTCCACAGGAGAAAGGCCTGGCGATCTGGACCTATAAAGATTACAGCCTAGAAGATCCTATGGGGCGGTTCTACTGTATCACACGGGGTCACTAACCACAATATCAGCAGGACTGCCAAGAGGTCCAACAAGTCAGTCTTAGAAGAAATACAACCAGAATTCGCCTTAGAAGCAATGATGGAAGGCTTACTTTGCATAAGTCATTAGGAAAGACTAGTTGCTAGAAAAACACAAGAGGTTTTGTGAGGTTGAGAGTCAGTGGAAACAAAGAAATGCTCAGTGAGATGGATCAACACAATAGTTGCAAAAATGGGCTCGATGATACAACCTTGCTTGCTGAAAGTGAAGATGACTTAAAATATTTTCGTTATGGATTGCATCTCAATATAAAGAAAACAAAAATCCTCACCACTGGACCAATAAACAACATTCTTATCAATGGAGAAAAGATTGAAGTTGTCAAGGGCTTCATTCTTCTTGGATCAACTATCAACACTCACGGAAGCAGCAGTCAAGAAATCAAACGACGTACTGCATTAGGCAAATCTGCTGCACAAGACCTTTTTAAAGTGTTGAAGAGCAAACATGTCAGCTTGAAGACTAAGGTGCGCCTGACCCAAGCTGTGGTATTTTCAATAACTTCATATGTATGCGAAAGCTGGACAGTGAATAAGGAAGACCAAAAAAAAATTTGATGCATTTGAGTTATGGTGTTGGAAGGGAATATTGAAGGTGCCATAGGCTGCCAAAAGAACCAACAGATCTGTGTTGGAAGAAACGCAACCAAAGTGCTCCTTCGTGGCCAGGATGGCCAAATTTTGTCTCTCATACTTCGGACATATTGTCAGGAGGGACCAGTCGCTGGAGAAGGATATCATGTTTGGTAAGGTGGAGGGTCAGAGAAAAAGGAAGACCCCCAGCGAGATGAATTGGTCAAGTGGCAGCATCAGTGGGCTCAAGCGTGGCAACAATAATGAGGTTGGCCCAGGATCGGGCAGTGTTTCGTTCTGCTGTGCATAAGGTCGCTATGAGTCAGTACCGACTTGATGGCACCTAACAACAACAACACATCCAGTCACTTGTGAGGATGGCTTAGGACTAAGAAGGGCAATGTTTCACTCTGTTATACATAAGGTGGCCATGAGTTGAAGTCAATTTGACGGTCTAACAACAATAGCAACCCTATATTAATGCAAACAACTAATACACTTAGTTGTTAACTGAAAGTTTAGAGGTTCGAGTCCACCCTGATGTGCCTCAGAACAACCCCCGGTGATGGATTTCTCCATACAGCAGTATGGAGAACAGTTTTGCTCTGATACACAGGGCACTGGGCCATCCTACTGTTAACCACAAATCCAGTGGTTCCAAAGGGCTGGGGAGTTAGAGTTGGGTGTTTGTAAGTGGGAGATGAACAAAACGTCTCAGGAAATGGTTGCTGGTGGCGGTAGTTGTGAGCCACTGGATCAATTCTGACTCATAATGACCCTGTATAGGGTTTTTGAGGCTGTAAATATTTATGGGAGCAGAAAGCCTTGTCTTCTTTCTGAAGAACAATTGGTAGATTTAAACTACTGACCTTGCAGTTAGTAGTTCAGGTTGTAATCCATTAAATTACCATGGCTCCTTCAGGAAATGGCTAGGGCCCAACTTTCCCTGATTCTGTCTCTATTGGTGCATATAGTCTTACTTGTGCAAAGCAATAGAAATCTAGCTGTAAACTAGGTGCATAAACAGACATTTTCTTTCCTAAAGGAGATCTTAAAACAATATTCCCCCACTCTTTACTTCTTGACATGGTCTGTTCCCAAAAACCAAGTTATTATATGAATGACTACATCCTATCACAAAACAAAGGATAACCGCACCGTTATGAACTACCAAATTCAATCAACACACAACTTCCAAACTACACCATTACCTAACCACCAAATCACATCATTATAAATCACCAAATTCAATCAATACATAACTTCTAAACCACTGAGAGTCACCGTCCACACAAGTTGACACATAACCTTAACCATCACAGCCAACATTACTCTTGCCTCACACATCCACGTTTGTTAATGCAAAACACACATCATTAATGCACAAAACAGTTGGATAGTACAATATTTTTACTATCCTTTTAAATGCGAAATGTTGTATAATGAGATAGTGGGTAAGTGAGGAATTGGTGTAATCTGGCTTTCAGGTTTTAGTGCAACACACAAAACCAGTTTCCATGGAAAGCAAGTTATTGTCATTTCAGATAAAGCACTGGTATATGGTCCCCACTTACCTACTGATATGGTCCAAACAGCAATTATTTTCAGAAAGGCCTTTGTTCTGGAGTTGAAGCGGCTGTGATGGATGGGGTTCTGGATGGCAACGTAGCGGTCCAGCGAGATGGCACAGAGGTGCATGATAGAGGCCGTGGAGAAAAGCACATCCAGGTAGATCCAGACCGCACAGAGCTTGCTTGGCAGAGGCCACTGGTATCCTACCAGGCAGAAGGTTTCATCAGTGTGTGGGTTACAGCCTGCCACAACCATTTCCATCTTGTACAGGTGGCAGTGGGCAACAAGAGACTTTCAACATTAGAAAAAAGTCTAACAGTAACTGTACTTAACTATGCAAAGATTATCCTGGCTGACAAATACCAAAGACCCAAACCAAACCCATTGCTGTGGAGTTGGTTCTGACTCATGGCAAACTTGGACTGTGCGGATGGTTAGCACTTGACTGGCATGGTGCTGTAGGATAGGCACGGGCTTGCTAATCGCAAGGTGGGTGGTTCAAACCTGTCGGCTGCTCCTTGGAAACGCAGGATTGCGATGAGTCAGAACTGACTTCATGGCACTTAACAACACCTAACCTAAAGGGTGAGTTCAAACCTACCCAAAAGTGCCTTGGGAGAAAGGCCTAGAGACGTGTTGCAACCTTGAGACTCCTATGGGGAAGCTCTACTCTATACACACGTCAAGTCCATAAGCTGATGAATACAAGGTGTGAACATTCCTAGTGGCTGAAATAATATGTCCCTATTCAAGGAGCTCTGGTAGCGTAGTGGTTACGAATCGGGCTGCGAACCTTAAGTTCGAAACTACCAGCCGCTCCGCGGGAGAAAGATGAGGCGTTCTGCTCCCGTAAAGATTTACAGCCTCGGAAACCCTGTACAGGGTCGCTATGGGTCGGAACCGACTCGACGGCACTAAACAACAATTCTGGGATTACTCAGGCTGTTCCCTCTTCAACATTTTTTGTCTCTTTTCTTCTTAGCAAAACCTACTTTTACTATTTTTTAACAACGACTTAGGTCACAAGTAGTGATGGGTTTGGGCTCCTCTGTTGAAGCACCTCCTAAATGATACAGTTATTGTTTACTCACCCATATTTCTCTGTCTCCTAGTCATTGTTAGAACTGCTCTGGCTCACACAGTACATAGTACTGGTCTCTCAGTAAGTAAGTCAGACAAACGACTGACTCAAAAAATCCAGATAGAGAAGATCTCACTATCTATAAAAATGAAAACGGAGGGATAATCTAATATTACCTTTCAGTTAACCTCAGATTGCAGGTGTGTGGAAAAAACCTGAATAACACCTTCAAGAAAAGCACACATGCTTTATTTATCAGGCATCCTAATTCCCCTGTAGATCTTAAAACAGGCTTCTAGACCCCACTTCCAGGTTCTGGTTCTGAAGGTCAGCCTTAAGGCTGGAGAATTCACATTTTCATTCCCAGCAAAGGCTGATGCTGTTGGTGCAAGGACCACACTTGGAGAACCACAAGATCACACTTGGAGAACCACAGTGGTTTAACGCCTGGCTGCCCATTAGAATCAGCCAACGCGCTTTTAAGACTGAGTCAAATCCCAGGCCATTGGAACCACAGTTTCCAGAGGGTAAAAAGGGATTCCAGGCTGCACAGAGTTTAAAACGCTTGGCAGCTAAGCTGCTCCTCGGGAGAGAGATGTGTCAGTTGGGGTCCCTGAAGAAGCCTTGGAAACCCTATGGGGCAGTTCTACTCTATGCCATTGGGTCGCTGTGAGTCAACAAAGGAGCGTAGGATGATGTAGACCGGGAATATCAAAGTATTTTAAAGCTCTCCAGTGGATTCCAGTGTGAGAACTATTGTATGGGTTCACCTGCTTTATTAGGAAGTAGAAGGACAGAAGCAAAGCCTCATGACTTTGTTCGTTTTGTTCAAATACGTATATAAACCTTAACTAGTTTTGGTAGCGTAGTGTTTACGAATTGGGCTGGTAACCTCAGGGTCAACAGTTCGAAACTACCAGTTGTTCCGCGGGAGAAAGGAGAGGCTTTCTGCTCCCTTAAAGATTTACAGCCTCAGAAACCCTGTACAGGGTCGCTATGAGTCGGAACCGACTCTATGGCACATAACAACAACAACAACAGTTTTGGTAAGTATGCTGCTAGATATGAGGGAGCTTCAAAAAGTTAGTGAAAGATGGGATGAAAAGGTTATGGAATTTTTCCTCGAGCTTTAGAAGCCCCCTGTATATGTATTGTATAAGTGAGTATTCTAAAGACCGCATTTTCTACATAAAAATGTAGAGCCACTACACAGAACAAACACACTCTCTACCAAAACTGCCTATATGGATATTTAGAAGCGGTAAAGGGCAGGATATAAACCTAATTTAGTGCCTCCCACTCAGATTATTTGCTAAAACGAGAGCCTTTTCCTTAGCAGTGCCTGGAGGGAAGCCACGTCCGCCTGTTCAGAACTGATCTGGGTTCTTGGAGGACTTTTCTCTGCAAGGAGGGAGCTAAGGGCCTCAGTCTTAGTTTCCGCGGCGGGGATGGAGAGGGGCCACTTCCTTGGGGGAGAGCTCAACAGCCCGCAGCTGGGGGAGGCGCTGGAGCAAACCCTGAGAGTCGTGGAACCCCGTGCGGGAATTGGCATCGCTCCGTGCGTGGCGGCCGCCAGGGGGCGCCATTGCACCCCGAGCTGGAGAAGGTTCCAGCTTCCTAACCCGACCCGAGCCTGTCCACACCCGCTGCCGCAGGTCACCTCTGCCCTTCCGCCTGGGTTTTGGTTCCCGGACGTGCCTGGCTCGGAGTCACAAACCCCAACCCCTCGAGTTTGCTTTCAAGCGGAACAGGGTTTTGGAAAGCCAGAACCAGTTCAGAATGTCTGGGAAATAATAGGCAATTGAATGAAATCATCCGGGAGGTGGCATTTGAGCGGTCAAGCTGGGGCTGACCTTCTAATAAACCGTATTGATCCCTTGCAAACTGAAGGCTGCTCTCTGTCGCTCACCTTCTTCTGCCTTCACATTTTGCAGCGCTGGGTTGATATTTTTTAGTTGGGTTGTTATCTAAACTTGGCCGGAAAATCCTATCTTAAAAACATTGCTCTCATAACCTGTCTGTAAACCTAGGGTGACTGCTGATTATGGCTGTGTCAGCAGTGTCTCAGAATTCTCTCTCTTTTTAAAGGAAGAATCTGATTATATTACTCATAATTTGGAAAGAATATCACATTCTGTTCCCCGCTGAAGCCATCCCAGTGTTTGCTGACTTGCTGAAAGGTTTGACTGTTTCGAACTCTGTTGAGAAGAAAGCAAGATGAATCTTTTCCCATTTGTTTTCCATCCTCCTCCGAACCAGATGGGATGAGTTTATGCATATACATTTTTAAAGAGTTGAGGGTATAATTCGAAGGCACATTTTCCAATTAGCTTCTCTGGGCAGGGAACAATTAAAACTAGAGTAATTCATTTACTCTAATGGGGACTGCATATTTGAACATTAAACCCACTGCACCAATGATTCTCTCTGCAAATGTTCCACTGTAACTGGGAAGGTTTTAACACTCCATCGGAAGTGCTGAAAACGATGTGACAAAGATAAAACTGTCTGTCCTGGAACCTGGACTACTTGTTCCGGGGATGTAAAGGAGACATAATCAAAAGAATTCCAAAGAACAGGTAAGTTACTACTTTATGATTGTACTGGTGCACCAACTAGATTTTATCCATCACGTGTGAAGCACACAACTTTAGAATTCCCCGTCTACCTAAAATGCACCTGTTTTAAAGAACAAAACTCTCCAGCGATCGCTGATGATCTGTTGCCTGCAAATTCTTTTTATGTATGAAATCCCATTGTAAGAGTAAAATTTCAGTAAGTAGTGTAACATGGTGGACCCTACCAAGTCTATAAACAAAGCCTGCTAATTACAGTTTGTCTCTCCCCCCCCCCCACCCCAGCCCTGGCTGGTGTGCTAATGGCACACACATGAGAATGAATGCCACTCACCATACAGGATGGTTAGCATGGACACAGGCATCACCAGGAAGCCTAGCAACATATCAGCTATAGCAAGTGACATCAGGAAGTAGTTGGTGGCGTTCTGCAGCTTTTTCTCTAGGGATACTGCCATGATGACGAGTATGTTTCCAGCAATGGTTAGAATAATCACAACAGCTGTCAGCAAGGCAGACCAGTTTTTTTCCTGGAGATGAAGTAAGGAGTAACATGGTGGTGAGGGGCAGCCTTCACAGGACAAGTTTGTTCGGTTTTCAGAGCCCACTGTCCAGTTGAATGCATCTGAAGTGTTGGCTTCTCCCGAGTTAAGGTCATTATTATAGAACCTTGCGTCGTCTGCTAATTGAGTTAAGGAGTTCAGAGACGAGCTCAGAGAGGCATTTTCTTCACAGAGAATATCCATATCTAAGCTGGAACTTTCCGCAGATAAGTGTAGAAGAATGAATAGATTATAACCTCTGGTCACCATCCATCTTTATGTCCCCAAACTCTGTCACAGTGAAACTGGGTTCCATCGGCTGACTTTTCCTCTCTCATTATTGCAGAAGTGTTTAAGACTTGCAGTGGTTCTTTATGTTTTCTTCCTTCTCAATTTGAGCAGACCACACGGTTTGCTTCTGTGTTTCCTCCCAAGCCAGGTGAAAAAGGCAGAATGAACTTGTAACATAGAGGTTGTAGAGTTTGGAGCATTCGGGGAGAAAAACGTGGTCCTGGCCAAAAAAAGAAAAGTTTTGTAACTGCCAAGCGTCTCTTTTAACTGTAGCTCATTCTTTCAGTTATAGGCTCGTACTCACTTAATCAAGGCAACATTGAAATAGCGTTCAATCCAAAACAGCAGGGCTTATGCATTTTAAAAAGAGTGTCAATTAAGAACATATCCAGTGTTAAATCCATAGCAATTGGAAGTACTTTGGATTATAGTTCTCAATTTGTGGTAAGCTGAATTGTCACAGCTGCTGTCTGGAATTTCAGCTTTCATTACACTGTATACTTAGAAAAAGAAAGAAAAGAAGAAGAAGAAAAAAGCCTTAAGCAAAGATCAGTGGACAACTTTCCACACTAGAAATTCTCATGACCAAGCAAGACTTCAAGCCAGAGAGAAAACCATACAGCGATCAAATAGAACAGCGTGAGAACTTACATTTATCTTTAGGCTCCCCACACCAGACACACTTTGCTGTTGTACGACTTGATGCATCTCTCATAATAATTAAGCTGAGGGGGACTCCTTTCTCCGTGAGCTTCTACCAGCAGAATATGATAGTAATTTGATTTCCGTTTTGCTGACTTCCCTAACTGCATGTGAGCAGGGAGCCAGTTCCAGCCTTGTGAGGTCCCTGTGGGTCTCCTCTGCCAGCCACTCTGCTGGGCGACTCCCTCCGGGTACAGCTCGCGTCAGTGAGGCATACACTGAGAAATCATTCACCAGTCCGCCTCAGAGTCACACATAAGCAACCGTTCAGAAAAAGTGGGACTCCTGGTTTCCACAGGAATGGAATTGTTCTCTGTTTGCCCGTTCACTTCCTCAGACCTCCCTCTGTGTGTCAGAAACTGCAAGGTAGCAGCAGCCAGAGAGGGCGGACCAAACAGGATTTGCTCTCTTTTGGCCACATGTTAACATTCGGAAGTTTCTTTTCATTTTCCAAAGAGTGAGGCTGGGGAAATCACCTTTTGTTTATATTCCTGATAAGGCTGGTAAACCCGAGGGTGAGATCTGAGAAGGTGAAGTGTGAGAAAGTCACAGAAGTAGGGCTAGAAAATGGTATGTTCTGGAAGGCTTGCAAGCATGCAGAGTTTCCATTAGAGAAGGGCACAGTGTTTGTGTCCAAAGTGAAATTACTGACATCTTTAACCCATGTTCAGAGTGACCAAGCCGATCTGCATCTATTATCTATGATTAACTGTTAGTGCTATTTTTATTTATTATTAAACACATGTATCCCATTCAATCAACCTGCTTTATTTTATAGAAGTATTCAAAACCTCAGATGTGGATGAAAATATACTCCCCCACTCCCTCCCCCCATTCTTTCTGTTTCAGTTTTACTTGAAAAAGAATTCCTTTTCTGGGGAGGCTTCTAAGGAAGGCAGCTTTTTGGTTTTTTCCATTATTTTTATAGATGAGAAAAAAGGTTCTTTCTTAAATAGCTGGGGTTCTCTAAGTTGCTTCTATCTTCTTCTTTTTATTGTGCTATTTACATCTTTTATCTCTATGCATAGTTGACCACTCTAACATCCATAGCCTGCTGTAGTTGTTGTTATGTGCCGCGGAGTCGGTTCCGACCCATAGCGACCCTGGACAGGGTTTCCTAGGCTGTAAATCTTTACTGGAGCAGAAAGCCTCATCTTTCTCCCGCAGAACATCTGGTAGTTTTGAACTGCTGACCCTGAGGTTAGCAGCCAGATTCATAACCACTACGCTACCAGATGCTGGTTAGGGCCAAATCTGGACCTTACAAGCAGATTAGTTTTCTCAGTTTCAGAACAACAGAACCAGCTGCCCATTGGACCCTTCCATTTGCAGCTTAGCAGACCTTGACCTCCACATCGGCTGTCTTTCTCCCATTCACCTACCCACCTCTCAGAGCTGAACCCCCAAACCATTGAGTAGACACTAAGACATGGAGACCCCATGTGTGTCAGAGTAGAACTGCACTCTAAAGGGTTTTGAATGGTCTGATTTTCAAGGTCTATCAATTTGGACTTGACCCTCTAACTTTCTGGTTACCAGTCCGGTGCCTTCATGGTTTGGGCTGCCCAGGGACCACCGTCAGTTCTTACCACTACCCATTCTTTTGGTTAATGGAGTCTCTTCAAACAGTTGGTCATTATTGAGCATTTCTTCTTTCTCCCCTCTAGAACCAACTAGTCTCCAATCCCACTTCTAGGTACCTGCTTCTCAAACCCTCTCCTCTCCTGCAGTCCACAAGCAGTGCTTCTGTTAAGGGTCACATCACCCATCCCCAGGGCTGGAGCACAGGCTTTCCCGTCTCCCTGTCCCTCTGCATGTGTGTCCTGCTACCCGAGTTGCTTGGGGAGGTGGGAGGTGGTGATGGCTGTGGCTCCGAGAGCAGGTAGCTTAGAGAACTGACTTTGCAGTCACCTCTCCTAGGTTTTGAATCTCAGCTCTACAACTCACAAGCAGTGGGGGCCTGCACAGCCGATGTTCTGTTCCTATGGCTCCGTTTCCTCACTTGTAGAACGGAGTAGTAGGAATAGCTTCCTCAGGTTATAAAGCAGAAGTGAGGTTTTTAAAAGAAAAGCAAAAACAGAAAACCAAACCTACTGCTATTGAATCAGTTCTGATTCCTAGTGACCCTATATTGTGGTGCTGTGTGTTAATGCACTGGACAGAAAGGTCAGTCTGAACCACAAGGTGGGCGGTTCAAATTCACCAGCCACTCCTCGGAAACTCTATCCAGCATCATGATGAGTAGGAATCGACTCAACAGCACTTAACAACAACATCAACAACAGTGACCCCATGTTGGGGTTTCTAAGACTGTACTCATGTGGTGCTGCAGAATAAATAATGCGCTAGACTGCAAGGTCAGTTTAACCGCAAGGTTGGCAGTTCAAACCCACCAGCCATTCTTCGGAAGCCATATACAGTGTCCCTATGAGTCGGAACCAACTCGATGGCACTTAACAATAACTACAGCAATAAGACTGTAAATCTTTATGGAAATGGACAGCCTCACCTTTCTCCTGAGGTTCAGCTGGTGGGTTTGGACCACTGACCTTGCAGTCAGCAGCTTAACCCACAGCGCCACTTGGGCTCCTTCTTGACTATGTAGCCCAATGCTTGACTTGGAGGATGGTCTTCATGAATGGTGGCCATTTTGCGTCTTATCAGTATTGTTAACACACACTTTTGACAATGCCGTTCCCATTCCCGCATTCCTTCAGTCTCGGCCCCATGTAGCACACAACCATCCTTTCCTTTGCCTGTTTTCTTCCCTGCTGACTCCGGTGTTTCCTGCCTGGACTCTTATTCTTCTCAGATGCATTCTGCATGCTGGCTGTACTTGGTTGGAGGTGTCTTACCATTTTTTTCTTTTTTTAACTTTTGTACTTACCATTTCCTATGTGTATGTGGAATGTTCTTCTCACCACATCCCCATTTCATAAATTCCTACTCATTTTCCAAAGTTAAGTTCCCAAGTTATTCTTCTGTAAAGCCCAAGCCCACTGCTTACCACCTATGTGCCCCTGATAAAGTGACTTATTCTCTTGTTGCTTTAATCATATTAATGCTGACCTCATAGGATGATTTGCAAGTTAAATACATTAATATATGAGCCTGGCACATTATAATCATGCAATGAAGATGATCATAATCCTTAATATTGTTATTCAGCTTACTGTTAGAGCTTTCTATGGCCCCCCACCCCCAACTTCCTGCATGTAGACTAAGGCTACAATGCCTGCTGATGCCATTTGAATATGTTTTATACTTCATATAAACCCATAAAGTCAAGGACTGCGCTTGTCTTGTTCACAGGGGGCACATAGTTGGTGCTTAGATATGTTTGCTGAATGAAAGAATGTATGGCTGATGTAAATGAGTCATTTACATGTCTGTCCTCTCTACTAGATGGTAAGCTTGAGTCCTGGTGTGGCACCGTAGGTTAATGTGCTGGACTGAAAATTGGTTTGAACCGCAAGGTCGGTGGTTCAAGCTCACCCGCAGCTCCTAGTAAAGCCTATACAGGGTCACTATGGGTTGGAAGTGACTCGATGGCACTCAACAACAACAACAACAACAACAATCTTTAGTCCAAAGTATGTTATAGAACAATGGAAGGTCCTGAGTATATGAACTTTGAAAGAAAAAAATAAATCAATTGTCAGGTGTACATTAAGAAGTTTTTTTTGTTGTTGTTAAGTGTTGTTGGGTCAGTTCTGACTCACAGCGACCTCATATAGAATTTCCAAGGAGTGGCCAGTGAGTTTGAACTCACCGGCCATGCGGTCCAGTGCTGTATCCCACAGTGCCACACCAGGCCTCCACATTAAGAAGTAGGAATAGGAAGAAACCTAGAACCTCAGACTTCTTGTTCAGTACACTTATCTTAGTGAGTTGTTGTTGTTGTTGTTGTTAAGTGCCGTCGAGTCGGTTCCGACCCATAGCGACCCTGTACAGGGTTTCCGAGGGTGTAAATCTTTACGGGAGTAGAAAGCCTCATCTTTCTCCCGCGGAGCGGCTGGTAGTTTCGAACCGCTGACCTTAAGGTTCGCAGCCCGATTCGTAACCACTACGCTACCAGAGCTCCTTGATATTAATTTAATTTGATTTAAAAAATGTGATTTTAAAACAAAGCTACAGTGTTTGAGAATTACTCTACAGCTTTTTGATGTTAGATTTTGTTTTACTGGTTGCTGTTTATAGTTCTCCTCAGAGAGGTTTGATGTCCCCTCGCCATTATTCATCATGAAAAACGAC